GAGGATTGTTGCACTGCTAGTGAGACATTTTGATCAACACAATTGGTTTGGATCTGTAATTCAGGTGAACATGGATGGTTTGCAACTGGTTTCAATGCCACCTAGAAATGCATTCAGTGCTGATCTACCAAAGGCAAGAAGAGAGCTTCAACCTGATCCACCTTATGCCATTAAGTCATGCACCAGAAATTTTCTTGCAACTGGTGCATGGCAGCAGTCTCAAAATAAGGTTCCCAATAAAGAGACAAGATCAAATTTATTACCTGACTATTCTTCATGCCAGAGTTCTGTCATTTGCCCTGATTTCTATGTTTCGACCCCAAAAGAATGTAATGCTGTTAGTTCACTTGAAGCTAATAGTTCTGATGTAGAAAAGTCTGCAAATAAAAGCTCTCGACAAAAAACCAGGAGGGGAAAACTGAACAAGAGAGTTTCAAGTGATACTGGATCAGCTGAACCAGAAGTTTTGTCCGAGTATGCTCATGAAAGTTCAACTTCTGAAGCCGCTAGTTATAATGTTCATGGAGATGAACTAATATATTCTGCAACATCACCAGAAGTTTCATTGCCAGATGGTAGCAGTAACCAGATTGACTTTGAAGGTGACATTAGATTCAGCAATTCTGAAGCACAGGTGATACGCACATCCAACATTGGTGAAGTGGTTGTTGTGGAAACTTTTGAAGCACTGGACGTTTCATCAGCAGATGGTAGCAGTAACCAGATTGATTTTGAAGGAGATCCTAGATTTAGCAATTCTGAAACATCTACGATCTGCTCATCCAACATTGATGAAGTTGCTACAGTGGAAGACATTATACCTTGTATAGCTCATAATTTTCCTGGGGAGTGTCAAATGATTAATTCTGAAATCATTATACAGACAAAAGGAAAGGGCTTCAGTCAGATCAGCTGTTGTGATGATATGAAATCCAAAGACTTCTCATATGCTCGTGATTCCTCCCTAGTGTTGGACTATGTATCTAATGGTTCAAACAGTGATAATGACCCTAATGATAGTTATCGTTCAAAACCGTTTCATGAAGCTAGCAGCAGAGGTAGCGTTTTAGAAGCTCCAGGTTGCAATTCCAGAAAGGGGTCTTTATCTTATAAAAATTCATTTAATGGTGTTGTAGATACCTACCACCACACTGAGGGCTCAAAGCATGACAGTCAGAATTTTAGCAGCAGTGAAGCACAATTACTTACATCAGGCAAGAAAGGCAAGCAAATAAAAGCGTTACCCAGTAGTGCTGGTGCTCACAAATATGGAGGTTTTGGAAATTTGCATGTCCGGGCAGGGAAGGAAATCAACCATTCTGTCTGGAAAAAGGTTCAGAGGAATGATGTGGATACTGAAACTAAGATATCTCCTGTATGCTTCCAGTTGGACATGAGTTTGGAAGAAACTCCTTCACTTAAAAGGAACTGTATTGTTGCTGAGGTAAATACATTATCAAGAACTGAGAATAAAAAACTGCTGAAAGACAAGGTTTCTAAGAAGTTGAAAAGAAAAAATAGTCTAGGTTCCAAATTAGATTACAGCTGTCATGGTAGGGGCCACAGTTCCAACAAGGCCAGCTTTAATACTCGTGCAAAGACTGGCATGCGACAGAATGAAACATTTGGTCTCACAGCTCAAGTGTATGATCAAAAAGGAGGGAAATCTATTTCAAGAACTCATTCTGTGAATACTTGTTTGATGGTTGGGTTCCAGCCTAGCAGAGTTGAATGCGCAAATTCAGAATCAGTTAACAGCTTGCAAGTTTTCCCAGATGCGTTACAGCCACTTCACAGTACTTATGATACTGTCTCCAGCCCAAGACACCACCATACAGAAAATCAAGGTAACTCACCAGCAAAGCTGAGCAATTTGTTGGACCAAAATACGCTCAAGGTGCCACCTCCAGTTTACCTTCCTCATCTTTTTTTTAATAAAGGTCCCCAAATGGAAAAAGAAATTACACTTGCTGAGCACTGTAAGCAAAACCATAGTTCTGGGTCATTTATGCAGAAATGGATACCCATTGGGGTAAGAGATTCTGAATTGGCCACCTCTGCTAGATTTGGTAATTCATTACCAGATCCTTCTGATAGACCAGCTCGTGAAGATTTCACTTTGAGAAATGTTAAAGAAAACGCCAGTTTTGATTCTCAAGACCTAGTTTCTTCATCGTTGTTGGGCACATGCCAAGGTTCTGGGAATGCAAGTTGTTCTTCCAAGGAAGATGACCACAGTCAAAAGTTGAATAATTCTACTGGTTGGATGTTTGAGCTCAACAAGAAGCATCTTGAAGATGACAGTTCAACTAGTGAATCCTCTGATCAACAATTTTCAGCTTTTGAAGATAATTCAATAAAGATAATACAAGCAGTGAAGGATGCATGTAGGGTACAGATGGAATGTGAAGCTATTCAGATGTCCACTGGCAGTCCAGTTGCAGAGTTTGAAAGATTTCTTCATTTTTCTTCTCCAGTTATTAGCCAACTGCCAGGTTTATCATGCTGCCAAACTTGTCTGTGTGACCGGCTTGTTGGTGCGCGACTATGCAGACATGAGATACCATATATCCCATTGGGATGCCTCTGGAAGTGGTATGAAGAGCATGGGAATTATGGTTTAGAAGTAAGGGCAGAAGATTTTGAAAATTCTAAGAGCTCAGGTTTGGATTGTGTTTCGTTTTGTGGCTATTTTGTTCCCTTTTTATCAGCAGTTCAGCTATTCAAAAACCATACAAGCCAACCCATAAACAAGGCTCCTGATCATGGGATTTTTGGTACACATGAGGCTAGTGAATCATCAGAGAATTGTAAAGTTCGTCGCCTTCCAATATTTTCTGTACTGATTCCTAAGCCTCATACCACAGCTGCAGCTCAATCAGTTGATGTCGCATGTTCTGATGATGCAGAGCTGCTCTTTGAATACTTTGAACCAGAACAACCTCAGCAAAGACAACCATTATATGAGAAGTAAGGGCTCCTTTTACCTCCCATTGGAAATTGTATTAAATGTATAACTGCAGTTTTCTGATGGATCTCATTACTGATTCTGTTAATTACAGGATACAAGAGCTTGTTAGAGGTAATGCATCTTCACGTTGCAAAATGTATGGGGACCCCACTAATTTGGCCTCTCTGAATCTTCATGACTTGCACCCCAGATCCTGGTTGGTTGAAAAAACTAGCTTGAATGTCTTTCAGAGCACTAATTAGGATTGAAGCTTGTTATATAACTGAATCATGCCAAGAGAAATCTGATAGACTCGTTATTGGATCTGTTTCAGGTATTCAGTGGCATGGTATCCTATCTATAGGATACCAGATGGCAACTTTCGAACTGCATTTTTGACTTACCATTCACTTGGCCACTTGGTTCATAGAAGTGCCAAATTTGATTCCCCGAGTAAAAATGTATGCGTAGTTTCTCCAGTTGTGGGCCTTCAGAGTTACAATGCTCAGGTAGTTTACAAATACAATTCTTGTACAGACTTCATTGCATTGTAGTGATAGTGTTATAATGCAAGTAAATTTCAGTGAATTGGTTGCGGAAGTGTGTATGTTGAGATGTTTGGCAGATCTAGTCTATTTCTCCACTTGCAACTTCCTAGTCCACCAATATTAAAATGACTAATTTATCAATGTTAAATTTAATTAATATTTTATTACCTAGACAAGCTTGTTATTTATTGAGTTGGAGCCCTATTTGTTCTCTGAGTAAACTTTTGGATATTATGCTTGTTATGTTGTCTACCTAAATATTATAAACCTTGAAGAATTTGTTCTTTAATTATGATTGATGTTTCACTGACGTAGAAGCAACTCACTGACTGATGAGGGTCTTGATTCACTTATAATGGCTGCTGATGAGATGGAGTCTCCTTGCATGTTCATTCCTTTTATTTATGTTCAGTCCTCTCAGTTATGATAGTCTAGTGATAGGCTTCTTAGACATTACTATGTTTGATGTCTCTCTATGTGGAAAATGTATGTAAAATTTCCTACCTTTCCAACTAAAGATCTCTATGGTGCTCTCTATATTTATCAAACTATTATCTGATTTTGAATAACCATTTTATAGGCAACAAAATATCAGAAAGAATTGAATATTTCGGCACTTTGAAAATGCTCTTCTTGTGTTGTTTTTGATTCATTAAAACTACTCAGTATCGATTGCAATAATCTTAAATAATGGAAAAGCTATTTTGAAACTGCCATTTAACTTTGCTTTTCAATTTTGAGTCGTGGCTGTTCTTGTACTCATATTCCATTTTTACCCTTGAACTGTGTTACATGACCAGGGTGAATGCTGGTTCCAGCCGCGGCACAGTGTAAACCAGACAACAGGAACTCCAAGCTTAGACCCTTCTGTGATCATGAAGGAGCGGCTGAGAACACTTGCAGAGACAGCATCTCTTATGGCCAGAGCTGTAGTAAACAAGGGAGATCAGACATCCGTAAACAGACATCCTGATTACGAGTTCTTTCTTTCTAGGCGAGGCTATTCACTTCTATAGCTAGTCACTCATATTTGCCAATGATATTTGGCTGTCAGATAAGAACTATTTCATCTAGGGAGATAAAGTTGCTGATCTAGTTCCACCCATATAGCATATGAGATAAAGCTGGTGATCTAGTTCCATCCGTTTAGCATTAGCCTCTTGGCATGAACCTCAGCTTCGTTTTAGCTAATGATGTAGCGCTGAGTACTGATCTAGTTATTTGTTAAACTGCTGTAAATATTCATTTCAGTTTTAGTTAAAATTTCTTGAATGTTTTGTGCCTGCCCAGAGTGAATGGACTCGCATCCCGGTCCTGGATGGATTTATAACATTAGCAGATCCTTTTGAGAATATCATTGCAAACGTCAGGACTCTTTTTCAGAAAGCAATCACTGATTTATGATCAAGACAGGTTGTGGTCTTACTAATTTAAAACTATCTTTCATTCCTTAATTTTTTCCTAGAAAGAAAATGACAAAACAACATTAAAAACGCAACACATAAATCTAAGTGTGTGGTTATCAGAAGGGATTGAGGGAAGGATAAAAGTGCAGAGATCTGGAAAACTACACTGCCACTTGAAACAGGGACAACTTCACACTTAACCAGGATGGTTCACTAGCCCTCGAGAGGAGATTTTATCCCTCGAATTTCTTAGATACTCTGCAGACAACAAAAAGGAAACGTCAGCATGTTGCATGCTGAGGGAGAGCCAAATGGCTTTTATCAAGAGTCAACATGAATTTATACATCAACACAACGCTTATTCCTGGGTTGGTTCAAATGCTGCAGCAGGTGATGAAGCTACGGGTTTCTCTCCTCCTGCAGTACACAATTTAACAGTGACAAATCCCATGTAATATCTAATGACTGAGCCTCTACTCTGATTGGAACTTTGATTAATAAGACTTGACTTCATAGAATTTGTTTTCCAGCTAAATAGATATTATTAAGACTCATAGATAAATAAGATTAGCAGATGTTCTTGCCATGTCATACTAATTACCAAATGATAAAACCCATAATATCACTTCTCAGTGCAAGAGGGGAAGTCAATCTCAAGTTGAAATCTGATCATAGCAAATAAATTTGATTTTTATGACTCAATTATTGGAGATGTTTAGGGATTTTTTACCTAAAATAGTTGATTTTTTTGGCTTGGTTGATTCGAATATGATAATAATTGATGTTTCTGTACTATCATGTTTAGGCTATTAACATTTCTTAAAAAAAAAAATAACAAAAACTGGAGAGGTGGTAAAAGCATTGCTTCCATGGATGAGAACAATATTTTTATTATCTTGTCCTTTAAAAATTTTATAGGCTAATGAATGAGGTTAAAATTGAATTTTTTTTTAGCCTTCATTTCTTTATTAGATTTTGTTTTTATTTTTTATTATTATTTTTTCTTTTTTATAGAATCTTTTAGACTGACTTTTTTAAAATTAATTTTATTTTTTAATATTTAATTGATTTCAATTTGAGTTTCTTAGTTAAGCTCGTATCTAAGATTTTATGGGTTTCAATTTGAGTTTCTTAATTAAGCTCGTATCTAAGATTTTATGGGTTGCAAATTTTAAAAATCAACTTAGTTTAAGGAGGCTCTCTCAAGATTGCTCTGTTTTTTAATATTATTTTTTAAGATAATATTTTTTTTTTAATTTTATTCTTTAATATTAATTTAATTAGATATTGGACCTCTTATTTTTCATGTTTTCTATGTCCTTTGTTTTATCATTAATTTGTTCTAACTTGTTTATCTAAGGTTTTTTATTTGTTGTTTGGGTATTTTTATTTGTTCTTTTTTAAATTATTTTTGAAAAATAAAATTTATTCTTGAATTAAATAGAATTGATTTATTAAATATAGGTGGATGCTCACTTTCATTTGTTTTGTTCAGTTTTCTTTTTCAGGGTATTACTTTAACAACCCATACGACTTCCTTTAATGTCATCGTGTAGTCTTTTTTAGTGGGGTTTGAAATGCCTCAATAAACTCTTTTGATGGGGGACAATATCCACAATGGAGTGATGGTGAGTGTCCAGCAATTTTTTCTTTCTTCTCCTACCATGTAGATATTATTGGCTCATATGTTTTGGTTAATTGTTGCCAAATTAATGTTTTCTTTACGGTATATCATCTATCATTGCCTTTATAAATTATTAAATGATCATTAATAAATTTACAAGTGATTTATAATAATAACAAATTATTAATAAACTCAGCGATAGATACATTAATTAAATAATTACAAAGAGTTTGACAAGAAAAACATGAAATTAGAATCAATCAACAAAGTGACCAATGGATTAACATATATTGCTGAAATTTATACTCACCGATTAAACCACTTATGCATGAAAATTCAATGGTAAATTTGGGATTTTTCAAGAATTTTAGAAATTCTTAAAACAATTGATGAAATCACTAATGAATTTAAATTTTTTTTGTTATAATGTAGTCAGTGGTGTGTTGACATGATAAATAACTGATGGGCTCACCAAAAAAAATTATATTAATAAATTTAAACTAAAATATTTGGGGTAATCTCTAATTTTTCTCCCATTTCTCTAAAATACCCCATTTCCCTCCCTTCCTCTCCTCTCTTTCTAACTAGTGGTAGGCATTTTCTCTCTAGAATTAGTGGTGGTAACTTTCTCTCTCTTCTTTAGATGGTGATCACACATTATTTCTCTCTCTTCACTATTTATAATTACATTAAATTATGATTTAAAGTCATTATTTTTATTTAATTTTTTATTCTGAATAACTATTATTTAACAACTATACATTAATAATATTTTTTTATTTTTTAAAAATTATTTTTAAATTCAACACATTAAAATGATTTTAAAATATTAAAAATATATTAATTTAAAATAATTAAAAAAATTTATTTTTTTAAAAAATATTTTTAAAACACAATATCTGATGAAAAGTCAAGGCCCTACGAATAGAATCCTCCAGTATTCCAAGTTGATTAGATAGCCCTTTGAATGTTTTTTCTCATAAGGACAACTGCTTTCTTCCATGCACGCAATGGGGAAAGTAAAGCCTCTGATATAGGAATTGTTTGTTTCTGTATTTTAAAAGTATTTTAAAAAAATTGAAATTTTTTTATTTTTTTATTAATTTTAAATTAATATATTTTTAGTATTTTTAAATTATTTTAATGTACTAATATCAAAAATAATTTTTAAAAAATAAAAAAATATTATTAACATATATTTTAACATAAAAAACTATTTGAAAAATAACATTAATCACAATTCCAAACAGGCTATTAAGCATTTCCCTGTCATTATGGAAAGCAAAGCCTGATACATGACAATATTTTCCTCGTTACATTCTTCTTTAATTTGGTTTTTTTCTTTGGGCCATGAGTTTTGGTCTAGAATGTAGTAGGGTTTTCTCATTTAAAAAAGTAATGTAATATGGACGTCATATCTTCTGCAAAGAGTGTCTAATAATAGTCCATCTATTTTTTATTTTGTTTTCTCATTTTTGAAAAACAAAATCTTATAACCCGGTACTCTGCTTTTGTTTGAAATATAAAATTTAAATTTTGATTTTTACACTTTATTGATTAAAGTAAATAAAGTGGCCATTGCACCAGAATCGTGATATGCTTCAAACCATATATTGATTCCAATGTAATCAAGAATATCTTTTTTATCAGAGGTTAAATCCATTACCAAAAAAAGAATTAAATAAAAAAATTAGGATGCATTTTAGGAATACAAAGCTTTCTTTCTTTAAACATTATAAAACTCAACTTGAAAGTTAACCCGGTCAAGAGACCGAATCCCAGGTTTTTTGGATCAATCCGCATGAATACAAGATATTTAATTATTTTTTAGCCATCCCTTAAAAAAAAGCAAAATATCACCACTTGCACTCGTTATACATTTACCTTTGTTGCTACCAATGCTCTTCTTCACATGTAAGTTGTAACTGGCCATCCCAACAGTAAAGAAAAAAAGAGAGACAGAGCAGAGAGAGATCTGAAGCGCTTATTGCAGATAGGAAGAGAGAAACAGAGAAAAATCATGACAATATTTTCCTCGTTACATTCTTCTTTAATTTGGTTTTTTTCTTTGGGCCATGAGTTTTGGTCTAGAATGTAGTAGGGTTTTCTCATTTAAAAAAGTAATGTAATATGGACGTCATATCTTCTGCAAAGAGTGTCTAATAATAGTCCATCTATTTTTTATTTTGTTTTTTCATTTTTGAAAAAACAAATCTTATAACCCGGTACTCTGCTTTTGTTTGAAATATAAAATTTAAATTTTGATTTTTACACTTTATTGATTAAAGTAAATAAAGTGGCCATTGCACCAGAATCGTGATATGCTTCAAACCATATATTGATTCCAATGTAATCAAGAATATCTTTTTTATCAGAGGTTAAATCCATTACCAAAAAAAGAATTAAATAAAAAAATTAGGATGCATTTTAGGAATATAAAGCTTTTTTTAAAGCATTATAAAACTCAACCTGAAAGTTAACCCGGTCAAGAAACCGAATCCCAGATTTTTTGGATCAACCCGCGTGAATACAAGATATTTAATTATTTTTTAGCCATCCCTTCAAAAAAAGCAAAATATCACCACTTGCACTCGTTATACATTTACCTTTGTTGCTACCAATGCTCTTCTTCACATGTAAGTTGTAACTGGCCATCCCAACAGTAAAGAAAAAAAGAGAGACAGAGCAGAGAGAGATCTGAAGCGCTTATTGCAGATAGGAAGAGAGAAACAGAGAAAAATTAACCATAAGAACTAGCAATCACTTGATAGGGGTACTCAATCACCATCCCAGGAGGTGGTATATGGCTAGGCAGTAGAGCCAACAACACAAATTGTTTGAAATTCTTACAGTGGCCATTGACAGTAAATGGGATCTCAATCATGGTCGTTTCTTTAGCCGGTTTCACTGGTGTGTGCTATCAAAACACTTTCTTGATATGGGTTTACCTATTTGGTATGTTCTTCATCATCGCCGCACTTTTAGGGTTCATCATCTTTCACTGGCACAAGATTAACTCTTGCATATGAGATTCTAAGGTTTTTGGTAACATGGGGAGAAGTATTAATGACGTCCCTGATATTGCAGATGTGCCCGGCCACAACTTCCCTCATCCCTCTATCAGTAATCCCAGGGCCTTTTGGCCAAAACCTTCTCCTTTCCAAGTCTACACAGAAACCACATTTGAAAAGGAAAAACTGGGTCTTGTCTGGGTTTGCCCGGGTCGCCCATAGGTTGACCTGCTGGGTTGTTCAGGTTTTACAAGATTATTGTAGTAGCCGGTCTTTTAATAAATTCAAACTGATCTAGCTACTGGAGCGACCGGGTTCCAAGTCGATCCGGTCCAAGTTTGATAACTAGGTTTTGAAGAGAAGCGAAAAAAGGCTTTATTCTTTTATAAAAATTCTTGTACAATTAAGAATTGATTTTTCATCATGTACAAGCTAGAATTAATTTTATTTTTATTTTTCATATAATTTTTAAAAAATTCTTGAGTCATACCTTTTTAATTAAAACTTGTTTTTTAAATCATTATATATTTTAATTTAAAAACAATGTATCTGATATAAAAAAAATATTTTTATCAAAATAATAAAAATAAATATATAAATAAAGAATTTACACCTTTTAGTTTTTAACAGTGGATAAGCAAGCATGCCTAGGTTTTTATTTTATTTTAAGCTAGGTGCGCATGCTCTTTTTTTAGCTAGACATGCCTAATGTTTTTTACTATTCAATTATTTTATAAATAATTATATATACTTTTAATATGTATATTTTTTTCAAAAAAAATTT